AGCGTACGACTACATAAAAGTCAAAACTTAAAGTTTTTATTAAATTCAAAGTACAGTTTGGGTGTTAACATTTTTTTACAAAAGCCACAGTACGGCCATCCAGGGCCAGGATTATCAATTTTAATCCACTTCGTTGTACCGGTAAGAATTTCTGCATTCTTTAGTTTCTAAAATCAAAGGAAAATCACGTGTGAGTTAAGTAAATACTAATTGCGAAATCACGTTCCAGATACCTTCCTTTTTAACCATTTTTGAACCGATAATCCAACTGAAGCGGAAATCGTGAAGTTTTAAAGGCATCAGCTAAAAAAAAAAAGAAAAAAAGAAGCACGTCGCAGATGAAGGCAGTAGCATCGATAAAAGTGCTCCAGAAGGTCTACAGAGAATCCCCAAAAAGATTTCACCAAAATAAATTGGTCCAGAACAAGTAAAAAAGGCACAGGTCTTGACTTCACAAGTCGGTTATATAGTTCTTCTACATACATACAAACACATATGTATGTATAAAGCCGGGTTGAACCGTCGTAGCTTTACATAAAGTATATTTCAAAATTTCTGATAAGCCAGTTCCACTTTTTTGTATCAAGTATTTATCAGTAAAACATCCTGGCTGCGAAACCATATAGGAAATGTATACCTAGAACCTATAAAAGAAAGATACAAAAAACAAAAAAAGAAGGAAAAAGGAAAAAATGAATTAAAAGTACTTACCTTAGTATACTTACCTACTTACCTCTAAGCTTATAAAATGAATTAAATAAACGTCCACCTGAGATTAGTTTGCTAAAATCTTAGATTTTCATCATAAATTAGTTCTAGTTTGAGTTACTAGTAAATACAAGTTAACTTGCCTTTGTTCCTCCTTTTACATACCTTCTAACCTGTAAAACATAATACATGTTTTTCTAGGGTGCCATGTGGTAATCCACATGAACCAAATTAACCTTCCTCAACATACATAAGATTGCATATGGCTTCATGCTCTTTCTCTAAATACGCGATTTCAATGTCAAGGTGGATCAGTTGAGGGAGATTGTATGCTCCTCTCAGATTTTTTTGTTTGATCTTGAGTTATTTCCGTGTGAGAGTACGTTCTTGCATTTACATCTTATATACAGATAGCGAGCATATACTTATGACCATTTAAAGTTAACTTAGTTCATATGGTTTGTTTTCGTTTTGGTTAGCATACTTCTGACATGTTACCAAATTAACAATAAGAGCAAATTATTTTTCGGTCTCAATGTTAGGGTTAGTTATAGAAGCATAGGCATAGACAAAGATTAAAGTTTTCAGCATGACATTGGAGCAGCTACCAGCAAGCTTGGAAGGCCTTCTATGCTTCGAGGAACTGCTTTATCGACTTGTCAAGTAAGTGAATTGTTTTTATGCTCTCATATCGTTTTCTATAGTTTATTTTTCTCATTCATATGAACACATATATATGTATATACATATGTACGTATGGCTATAGGCCCTTGTTTTTTTTCTAGTTCTCAGGAGAGGTAACTATACACGTATCATATATACGTACGTACATACTTACATATTTGTAATAATTTCTACGCTTTTTATTTTTCACATATTTGTATATACATATGTATATGTATGTATATTCCTAGTTAAATAGCTACATATGTACATACGTATATATTGAATTGCGCGAGGATCAATAACCACGTAAAGCTAAAAGTTGAGGTAGGTTAGGGTTCTAAATTAACATAGGCCTAAGGAGAAATATTAGTATAGTGCAAAGAAAGTTTGAATTTAAATCTATTTATAGAATTAGTTATTTCTTAGTTAAGCATTACACATTTTTGAGAAAAAGTAGTAACAATGTGTTGATATTTTGGAGTAAATATATAAGTATGGAGTTGTAATATTTTATAATTTGGTCTAATTTCTGATGGAAGTGTGGGGGTTAAATGGGGCTTTTATTACAGCAACAAAGCCAAGGTAGGACGGGAAAGGAGCAGCACGAAAACGTATATGAGCGCTGCTGGCTATCATGACCCTAGCAGTTCGTAGGAGTTAAGGTTTTTTTTGTGGCTGTCGTAGTTTTTCCTTAGTGTGCAAATATGTAATTGTATCTAGTTAGTAGCGTAGGTTATTGAGAGTGCTGCTTGGTTTACGGCCGCGTTAACGAACCCACCCAGACTGAAGCTCCGGCAATAACAAGCGAGTGCACACGCCGCGGCAGTAGACATGCATCGCAAGCACCTCATCGAGTTCTAGCCTACGGCCACATAAGAGATAAATGGCACCCAACGTGGGGCCCACATGATGACCAGTGGTATACTGTTGAGTTGCCAAAACGATTTGTGGTCCCTCCGGTTAAATTCCCTCTTGGAATATTTATGGTCTTTCCGTGTTTTTGTATGTATATTATTAGAAGTAAATCAGTAGTCTTTTGGAATTCTAGAAATCCTAGCAATATGCTTATGTTCTACACCATATTGCTAAGGATTCAACGTTTGTATAGTTATTTTTGGTTACTTGGTCGTTAAACAAATCAGAGGCTGGAAAGCTATTCTTACAGGCTATAAGCTACAGGAATTGACCGTTGACGATTTTGTGTAACAATAACCAGTAACAAAAATATTGTGGTTTTTCGATTTCAATTTTTTTCGTTTTGTAATTTAATTCGCCAATGTGGAATGGTAGTTGTAGTATGGCTACATGCCGTCAAGCTAACCAATAGGTGGTTCAACTTACACAGAATGAAAAAATTGTTATATTTTCTCAATTTCATTTTCAGAGATTTTTTCTTGTAAAGAATATTTAGCTTTAGAAGTTTTATCGGAACGTATATTACGAGTTCAGTCTATAACCGAGTTCAGAAATTTTCGTTTGCGAAGCCACAGGTGGTTAGAAGCCTTTTACCAGAAATCTAGGATCAAGTTAGCTAAATTTACCACCACATGGCCGGAAGAAACAGACCAAACCTTTTGCTTGATAATTTTTTTATATTTTTCTTTTTGGTGTCGACTTACCATTTGACTTTGAAAATTTTTGGGTTTCTGTTTTGGGGTTTTTTTGTTTGCTTTGGATAATGTTGCTGATCGATTTTGATATTAATTTAAGAAGAGTCTTATGATATTTTTGTGAAAACTTCGACCCAAACATTCAATGCGGTTATTTTTTGTTTGTTTCAACCATCTATGTTGAATATGTTACAGATGCACTAAGGAGTGTATTTATTAAACATACAAAAATAAAAAAATAAAATTAGAGGAAAATATCTTATTATGAATTTAAATTCAAACTTTGTTTCATCTTTATATACTTGTAAACTTAAATTCAAGATTTTGCTTTGATTTAATCAGTGCTACCAATAAAACAAAAAAATATTCACCTTAGTTACACCGAAAGTTGTGTGCAAATTTTTCTTGGCTTACGAGATTTCGTAGGATTTTCTTTTCAGCGAAGAATTTTAAGGAATGCCTACCACTGATAATTCGAGTGCGTATTAAATACCAAGCGTGTCTGAATTTTTACTTCTTCGTTAGGGGAAACCATAATTTTTAATTTTTTTTGTTCAAAATGCGTTTGCGTAAGAGTAATGAGCATATGGCACCGCAAGCAACCGCATGTGCAATATGTAGAGAAAATTTTTTAGAATGCGATGATATTTTAATTACTGCTTGCTCTCATCGATTTCACCGGATGTGTCTATTGAACTGGCTTAAGAGAAATAATTCTTGTCTACAGTGCCGTGCGAAATGTACCAGTAAGGACTTTAATCAGAATACTGGTGCTTGTACAAGATCTCGTACTGCGCTGCAGTCAAAACATCCAAATAAACAATTAGGACTGCCGGCGATTGCGCAGTCTGAAGATCATCAAGCTGATGGTGCGGCGTGCTTGCCTTTGACCGGGGCAGCTAGTTCAAATGGTAATGATGACGAGAATATGGTACGAAACATTGTTTCCGCGTTATATCCGCGCGGCAGGCTAAGATTTTTGAAAACCTAGAAAATAGGGTCTCACAGTTAATAGAGGAAAGACTAGAAAGCACGTTGAATAACTTGTTAGGTCGCTTAAATCTGAACGCTCAAGCACCTCCAGCTGCTGCTAACGTTAGCCCCGTAGGAAAAAACTATCCGCAAAATAATCATCAGAATAATTTAACACCCTTCTGGCCTAGAGAAATACCGGTTTTACCAAATACTTCCCTACCAAATTTTCACCGACAGATCGACCAACTGAGGTTTAGTGACATGTCTAGCGTCCCCAATTCCAGTAGAATAGCCCAACTAATTCCAATTGGGATATAAAATTTGACGGCTCTACTAAACTTTCGGTTGATAGCTTTATATACAGAATAGAATGTCAGGTGATCGATACGCTCGGTGGGAATTTCAACTTGCTTTGTGAGCACGTTCAAAGTCTGTTCACAAACGAAGCCAAGGATTGGTACTGGAGGTATCGTCGGTTGAGCGCATTACTTGGCCCTTCCTATGTGAAGTGTTACGTACCAATTTCTAGCAACACCGAAGAGACTTTGAAATCAAAGAACTTATACGAAGCCGAAGGCAAGGCTCCAATGAAAGCTTTGACGATTTTAGGAATGCAGTTCTTAAACTAGCTGAACCCTTACAAACTCCCTTACCAGAGCCCGAACTTGTAGAAACCTTGAAACACAATTTGAGACCGCGGGTTCGACAACAACTTGTGTATGTACCGGTAAATTCATTGGCTGAATTGCGTAGATTATACCTTAAGGGCGAAAGCTTAACAAACGAGATTGTCAAAACGTCTAACTCGCAGCCAGTTGTTAATCAAAGACAGAATCCTCGTCGTTTTGTCAACGAATTACAGGAAGAAGACACCGTTTCAGAAAGCCTTGATTGCGAAATTTATGAAATTTCGAAAAGATCTCCAAAGGATAAACTGCTTTGTTGGAACTGTAGAGGCGAGGGACATAGATACATTGATTGCGTTGAAGACAGAACCGTGTTTTGCTATGGTTGTGGAGCACCTAAAGTTTACAGACCAAAATGCCCAACTTTCTGCCCGGGAAACTCGAAAGCGAGCGAGGCTTCGAAGCAGAATCCTCGCTACGACTCAAAGAGCTAGATTCAAAAAAGTTACTCATACGACCGGCCATGACTGAATCAAGTAATTGGGTAACATCACTAATACGCCCTGATAGATGTGAGGAAACTAATACTTTTGTACATCAAATTATACCATACGAAATACGCCTTAATAATTATAATAAAGCTAGGGAACATATTTTCGGCCCGGACAACAAACAACCAACATGTAAAAACCGTACGTCTATCCGTATTAATGAGTTTTGGAAAACAGCTAAAAATAATCGGAAACAGGTGCGAAATCTCGTTTGCTCTATCCAGCAAAAATCATTCGAATTAAGACCGTATGCGAAGAAAGAAATTCTCGGATCTGAGCATTTAGCACTTTTAGATAGCGGAGCTCAGGTCTCGTGTTTAGGATCTTCTTTAGCGGAAGATGTTTGCAAAAACCAACAGTTGCGTAAGCACTCGGCGTCTGTATATACTGCAGATGGAAACAAACAATTGGTTTTTGGTACAATTGGGTTGAATGTCAAGTTCGAAGGCCGAGATGAAGAAATAAGTTTTTTTGTTATACCGAGTATGTCACAGAAGATCATACTTGGAGGTGACTTCTGGATAAAATTCCAAATAGCACTCAGTATTGTATCCGAAGTATCTCTTGATCCAAAACGTTATGAAAATACCCTTCCTCTAAATGGTGAGCAACAAAATAAGTTAGAAATGATTAGAAATAGATTTCCTAACTTCGAGAAAGAATGCTTAGGTAAAACATCGCTCAGTGAGTATGTTATAGAGCTCCAACCTGGTGTCCGTCCGATTAAACAGAGATATTTTCCGATCTCACCTGCCGTGGAAAAACTTGTACATGCAGAAATTGATGAAATGCTGCTTGGTGTAATCGAAGAGTCTCCAAATAGTCCATGGTCCAGTCCGATTGCTCTAGTGAAAAAGCCAAATAAAGCCCGTCTGTGTTTAGATTCTAGGAAAGTTAATAGCGTTACAATAAAGGACGCATATCCCCTTCTTCATATTGATGGTATTTTAAGTAGGATACCTTAGGCAAAGTATATTAGTTCACTAGACTTGCGTCGAGCCTTTTGGCAGATACCTCTTGTAGAAAATTCCCGAGCCTACACTTGTTTTACTGTTCCAAATCGTCCGCTTTATCGTTACTGTGTAATGCCTTTCGGCTTATGCAACGCTCCTCAAGCGCTTTGCCGTTTGATGGATCGCGTCATTCCTCCCGTGTTAAAGAATCAAGTTTCCGTTTATTTAGACGATCTCCTAATTGTGTCCGAAGATTTCGACACACACATGTCCGTTTTGTCCGAGGTTGCTAACCATTTGAGAAAAGCCGGTTTGACAATAAATATTGAAAAAAGGAAATTTTGTATCAAAGAGGTAAAATATTTAGGATACATAGTGGGTGATGGATCTTTACGAGCTGACCCTGACAAAATCTTCGCTGTGACGAACTACCCGGTGCCAACCACCGTAAAGCAACTGAGACGGTTTTTGGGAATGGCTGGATGGTATAGGGGATTTATTGATAACTTTGCGTCGATCACTATGCCATTGACCAATCGGTCGAAGAAAGGTAAATCATTCTCATGAACCGAAGACGCCCAAAAAGCATTCGAAAAATTGAAGCAAATGCTATATTCTGCACCAGTTCTGGCAAGTCCGAACTATGAGAAACCTTTCATAATTCAGTGTGACGCCAGTAAGCTCGGTGTTGGTGCGGTGCTGTTACAGAAAAATGACGAAGACCTTGAGGTCCCTATTGCTTACTTTTCGCAAAAACTTAATAAATCGCAGAGTAATTATAGCGTCAATGATTTAGAGTGTCTGGCAGCAATACTCAGTTTAAAGAAGTTTAGAGCACGCCATCTTACAATGGCTTATGCGGCAAACCGATTTGTCCAGTAGACTAGCCAGGTGGGCACTTAAATTTCAGGGTTACCGTTTCCAAATAGAACATAGGAAAGGATCACGTAGTGTTGTTCCTGATAGCCTATCTCGGCAGAATTTTGATGAGGTGAATGGAATAGAAGTCCGTCCGTTGGTAAGTTGTTAAGTTATGTCCGAGATAATGCAAACCATCTTTCTGACCTACAAATAATTAATGATCTTGTGTACAAGCGAACCGAACATCCAGATGGATCTCAAGAACGTGAAGCTTTCAACTGGAAGCTCTGGCTTCCGAAAACCCTCGCCCAACAGATAATTGAAAACGCTCACTCTCCGCCTAACAAATGTCACGGAGGCATCGCGAAAACATTAGAGCGTTTGCGCTTAAACTTTTATTAACCAAACATGACCGTCGACGTAAAAGAATATGTTGGCCGGTGCGATATTTGTAGACAAAGCAAAGCGCCTAACGTTGTCCTTCGTCCACCCATGTCCGTCCAATATACAGTCCAACGTCCTTTCGAGAAATTGTATGTATATTTACTTGGTCCATAGCCCAGATCCAAGGAAGGAAATATTGGTATTTTCATCGTCCTTGACCACCTCACACAATTTCCGCCAATGAAGACTATTAGAAACTTCAATACACCCACAAATTTATAGTTTCCTTAAAGAGAAAGAGAAAGTATGTTGTGTATTCGAAACTCCAGAAATTATATTAAGTGACAACGGCAAACAATTTAAGTCCTCGCTGTTCAACAACCTGCTGGCAGAACGAGGCATTAGGCATGTATATACCGCCCTATATAGCCCGAAGGCAAACGTTAGTGAGCGGGTCAACCGTTCCATTGTTGCAGGAATAAGGTCGTACCTTAGAGAAGATCAGACGCTCTGGGATAAGCAGTTACCTGATATTTCAGAAGCACTCAGAAGCTCATTCCACCAGACAATTGGATGCACCCCCTATTATGATTTGTTTGGTCAGCAAATGTTAGCACACGCCGATGAATATGAGATATTACGAAAATTAGAGTCGCTAGACGAAAACCTCACCGACAGGACAGACAGACTTAAGCTCATACGAAAATCACTACAAGAAAGCATCAAGAAAGCATTCGAAAACTCGTCAAAACGTTACCATTTTCGCAGTACCGTAAAGACCTTTAATGTAGGAGACATCGTTTACCGCCGAAATGTTGTATTAAGCGACGCGATTAAAAGGTTTTGCGCAAAGCTAGCGCTCAAATTTCTAAAGGCCAAGGTGATCGCAGTGAAAAGCAACTACATGTATGAGCTAGAAGATGATGCCAATAAAAAGCGAGCAGTTTACCATGGGAAAGATATTATAGAAGGCAAAGGTGGACACAACACCGCACCAACAATCTAGATGGGGGGGTGTGTACCGTGGGTATATACATTTATGATTTCCTTTTATATTAACGACTCATATTTACATATAAATCACTATTAGTTTCGACACAAGATTTTCTTTAAGTTTGGTTTCAATACTATTCGCCACTACTGTTACTGAAGTAAACATTAAACATAGCGTAAAAATTTCCCTTAAGCCTTGCTTAACATATGGCATTCGATAACGATTTATCGATATCATTTTTGCTAAACACCCAAGCTTAGGCACAACTTCCGCGTAAATCTTTCTTTCTTTTCTTGGTGACCGGCTTACAGCGTGCAAGCGTACGACTACATATAAGTCAAAAATTAAAGTTTTTATTAAATTCAAAGTACAGTTTGGGTGTTAACATTTTTTTACAAAAACCACAGTACAGCCATCCAGGGCCAGGATTATCAATTTTAATCCACTTCGATGTACCGGTAAGAATTTCTGCATTCTTTAGTTTCTAAAATCAAAGGAAAATCACGTGTGAGTTAAGTAAATACTAATTGCGAAATTACGTTCCAGATACCCTCCTTTTTAACCATTTTGAACCGATAATCCAACTGAAGCGGAAATCGTGAAGTTTTAAAGCCATCAGCTAAAAAAAAAAAAAAAAAAAAGAAGCACGTCGCAGATGAAGGCAGTAGCATCGCTAAAAGTGCTCCAGAAGGTCTACAGAGAATCCCCAAAAAGATTTCACCAAAATAAATTGGTCCAGAACAAGTAAAAAAGGCACAGGTCTTGACTTCACAAGTCGGTTATATAGTTCTTCTACATACATACAAACACATATGTATGTATAAAGACGGGTTGAACCGTCGTAGCTTTACATAAAGTATATTTCAAAATTTCTGATAAGCCAGTTCCACTTTTTTGTATCAAGTATTCATCAGTAAAACATCCTGGCTGCGAAACCATATAGGAAATATATACCTAGAACCTATAAAAGAAAGATACAAAGAAACAAAAAAAGAAGGAAAAAGGAAAAAATGAATTAAAAGTACTTACCTTAGTATACTTACCTACTTACCTCTAAGCTTATAAAATGAATTAAATAAACGTCCACGTGAGATTAATTTGCTAAAATCTTAGATTTTCATCATAAATTAGTTCTAGTTTGAGTTACTAGTAAATACAAGTTAACTTGCCTTTGTTCCTCCTTTTACATACCTTCTAACCTGTAAAATATAATACATGTTTTTCTAGGGTGCCATGTGGTAATCCACATGAACCAAATTAACCTTCCTCAACATACATAAGATTGCATATATTTCTCAGCTGGCTTCATGCTCTTTCTCTAAATACGCGATTTCAATGTCAAGGTGGATCAGTTGAGGGAGATTGTATGCTCCTCTCAGATTTTTTTGTTTGATCTTGAGTTATTTCCGTGTGAGAGTACGTTCTTGCATTTACACCTTATATACAGATAGCGAGCATATACTTATGACCATTTAAAGTTAACTTAGTTCATATGGTTTGTTTTCGTTTTGGTTAGCATACTTCTGACATGTTACCAAATTAACAATAAGAGCAAATTATTTTTCGGTCTCAATGTTAGGGTTAGTTATAGAAGCATAGGCATAGACAAAGATTAAAGTTTTCAGCATGACATTGGAGCAGCTACCAGCAAGCTTGGAAGGCCTTCTATGCTTCGAGGAACTGCTTTATCGACTTGTCAAGTAAGTGAATTGTTTTTATGCTCTCATATCGTTTTCTATAGTTTATTTTTCTCATTCATATGAACACATATATATGTATATACATATGTACGTATG